GTGTGTTTAGAGAACTCAGTCTTACAAATAATTGCTTTTTCTTTGGTCAGTTGGTTATCTAAGAGTATCAATATTGTGATTGGACTATTTGATTAAAATGTTTACTGTACAGAACTTGTTTTTTCCAACCAGAAGTTTTCTTACCTAATCTAATAAAAAAAATAATAATTTCAGTCTTGTTTCTGCAAATGAACTTATCTAATTGATAATGAGTCAAAACGTTTTGGTGACAAATCTGAATCATTAATAAGCATTCAGATAAGGCACTTGAAAGTGGAAGTAAATACAGAAAATACCACTGGTGTCAGGTCTCAGGTTTCAGGTATCAGGTATCAGGTGTCAGTTGTCAGGTGTCAGTTGTCAGGTATCAGGTGTCACAGTCACATACCACTGCTTACCATGTGCATCTTAACCACCTAGCTTTCATTTCTCTTTTAGAAATCACAGTTAAAACTTCAAAGATTGTTTAAAACTTAAATATAGCACTGTACTGTTGTCAGTGATATGTCAGTGACAAATTAAAGAATATCTAAGAGTATCAATATTGTGATTGGACTATTTGATTAAAATGTTTAGTATATGGAACTTGATTTTCCCAAACCCAATTTTTCTTACCTAATCAATAAAAAAAATAATAATACATTCATTCTTGTTTCTGCAAATGAACTTCACTATTTAACAATTATAAATATGCTATCTCATTGATAAGAGTCAAAACCTTGTGTGTGTTAAGCAGTGGCATGTGACTGTGGCAGTGTATGGGCTCAAATTGTGGTCATAAATATCTTGTACTTGTAAATCAAATGCGAAGTTGTGAACTGAGATTTTGTAACCAAAATATCTGAAAATTTTATGTTTGTGCATCTATAGATGAGAATTTGTGTGTGCATAAAAAAGATTTGTGTTTGTAATTTACACAAGTTACAATTTTTTTTTTGTTAAAGTCTGGTTACAGATACAAAGCAAAAAGCTATATGTAAAACTCTACGCTCAAGTTCCCTGCCCGTGTGTGAGTTTCAACTTGCGAGTACAAATTTTGACCCAATTTTTCTTGAATTTCAGCTGCTTGTAATTGACATGACTTTGACCAAATTTAACAATCCAATTAGAGAACAGATGGGTTTGGCTGTTGGTGGGGTGCTTTACTGAGCTTCAGGTCCTGAAAGGGTAATACAGTTTGAAACTGGAGGATCTCTATATGAATATCACATAGGGCTCATACAAGCTAGGTCCCTTAACTTTTGGTAGCTGTTAAAAGGATAAAGTTGTGGTATACCAGTGGTTAGAAATACCATTACTACTTTACTTTACTTACATTATTACTTCAACACAAAGTCAGGGCTGACCTGAGACCATTGCTGTGAGTTACACTAGGCAGCATAAAGACCCTTTCAGAGTGGACGCGGCATGCGCTGCTAACTGCTAACTAAGAGCTAAGGATCCAAAATTTGTTGCGCTGTCATTGTTTTGCAGCAGCCTGTACTAGATGCGCTTGCTCCTTGTCGTTTCAAAACATGTATATCTCTGACTTTATATCCTCTAAAAGAGTTTGTAGAGGACCCCCGAGGTCCACAGAGCCGCTGAAAAGGCTCTGGAGTAGTGGTTGTATATTTGATTCTTTTCACTGAATTTAGTTTGAATGAGTCACTCACCAAAATAAATCAGGTTTTTTGAGTCATTTGAGTCACTGAGTCATTGCCAAGAGAGTGCAAAAAAGATACATTTTCACTCAAACTTAATTTGTTTCTCTTTTCATGTAAATCCTACTGCTAAGATGAATGACTGAAAAAGAAAACAACTATTTCATAGAGCAAAAAAGAGCAAAAACGTTAAGATTTC